ATAAATACAATAAATAAAATCAAATAAAATAACTGAATAAAATAAAATAATAAAAATACTAAAATCAAATAAGTAATAAAATAAACGCAATAAATCAAATCAAATAAAGTCAAATAAAATAGTAAAAGCAAAATAACATAATTGAATAATTAAATAAAATAATTAAAATAATTAAAGAAAAAAATAAATAATAAAAGAATTAAATAAAATTATAAATCAGATAAAACAGAATAATTAAATTTCGATTGTTTACTCGGTTCCGTGACCCGTGCCATTGCAAATTAATTCTCGGTCGCCGTATACCTGATCATCTTCTTCGCAACGATGGGCGTCACCTGGATTAGCTATCGTAAAAAGATGGAGCTGGAAGCCATTCTCGGCGAGTTCGGACTCGATCGAAGCGGCACTGTGGACGAACAACGTGCTCGACTCATCGCCTTTTCACGACGAGCGGATAATTCCGAGGAAATCCAAGATCGACTCGAGGAACTGGAGCGCCGGTTCGGGAACGCACCCACGGGCGAAGTGAAGCCACCCATACCTTTGGATCCGGCCCTCATATCACCAGAACCAACCACGTCGGCATCGTTGGTACCACCTTCGCTTTTTCTGCCGCGTAGTACTTCGCCGGCCACAGGGCGACGCCCGAAGGCGGAAGAACCTCCGAGATCCGTGAATCACCCTAGCGACGCCGGCTGGGAGCCATCCTGATCGACAGGATGACGAAGTGGGGTCTTTCGTTCGACGGAACGACGGATCCACTCGGGTTCATTGAGCACATCGAGGAGCGTGCCGATACCTGCCGGATCGACCGGAGATATCTGACTCAAGCCCTGGTGGTGCTGCTCTCCGGCCGGGCTGAGAGTTGGTTCCGCACGAGCGGACTCCAGCAGGCCAGCTGGGTCGAGGTTCGCCGTGAATTTCTAGATTTTTTCCTGCCACCGCGGTACTATCAGCGACTGGAGGACGAGATCCGGACACACCTACAGCGACCCAACGAGCCGTTCAAGGAATACTTAGTGGATCTTCGCTTGCAGATGCGCCGAGCTGGATTCTCTCCGGACCGAGAGCTGGAGCGCGTCTACGACAACATGCTGCCGGAGTACCAGCTGTTCACCCGAAGACAGGACTTCCGCACCCTGGCGGAGCTGACCCACCTAGTAGTGGACTACGAGGTGACGCGCAGCCGGAATGGAGGCCAGGATCATCGCTCTCCGAGCCCTCGACAGGAAGCTAGACTCAACTATGGGACGGAAGCCGGGCAGACGCCGCGCCGTGCCCCACCAGCAGCCCCAGTGGGCAACCCTTTCAACGGAGGTACCAGCCGAAACGCGAACACGAGCCAGAGCACAGCCTCTCTCGTCACATCGGAGCCAGTCAACCTTCGCGACGCATGCCGCAACTGCGGCCAACCGGGACACTTCTCGGCCGAGTGCCGGAACCCCCGCATCATTTTCTGCTGGGACTGCGGACGCTGAGGAACCCGGACTATCGATTGCTGTCGGCGTGCAGCATCAGGAAACGGGAACGGGCCTCGAGTGACCGGGAATCACCCGGGGAACCCGTCCAACCCACGCAGCCAGTAGGAGGAACCGTCCACCAACACCAGGGACGGATTCGCGCCGCCATCACCATGAAAGGGCGAGGATTCGTGGCCACCCTGGACACTGGAGCTACGCATAGCTTCATCAGCGAGGACCTAGCCCGAGAGCTAGGCAACGCGGACAACACGCGAGATATTCGCACCCAAGTCAAGTTGGCCGACGGGACATGCCGGGACCTGACTCGGGCCCTCGCCGCCAATATCCACCTGGGGTGCAAACGCGCTCCAACCGTCCTGCTAGGCATGGACTTTCTTTGCAGGATCGGAGCCACCATGCAGTGCGGGGGACAGACCCTCAGCCTGATGCCTGACCAGTACACGGAGCCACCATGGGCTCAAGAACGAGCCAACGCAAGACGCCGGAGGGAAGAGCCACGCTCTGTCCGCTTCGAGGAGCCACGCTCTGTCCACTTTGAGGAGCCACACTCCAACCCTCACGGAGGACCACGTCCTACGCCGCAGCTGAGAGAGCCACGCTCTCAACCCCGAAGCCCGCCGGCCGAGTCACACTCTGCCCGCCGGGAGCCAGCGACGACGGAGCCACGCTCCAGCCACACGGAACCAGCAACGGTCAGAGAACCGCCGCAACCGGCGCCACGCGCCCGCCCTCGGGGCACAGCCCTCGAAGCCAACCGGGAGACCGCCAGCACCACGCCTGCCGGAGAGGAGAGCACATCCTCCCGGAGGTTGGCAGTCATCCCCGGCACAGACCCGTCCACGACGGGAAACCAGCTGCGAGGTTGGAGCCATGTCTTGCCTGTGGCGGATGCCACCGCCGCGCAGCGAAATCCATTTCGCACCTCCATGAAGCGTGTCCGTTTCCAGGACCACGTCGAGGAAACGCCGGCGCAAGACTCGCCTCTCTGCGGAAACATTAACTCGGTGAGTCACCCCGCTGGGGATCCAGACTCAGCCGAGGCGGAAGAGCTCGAGACCCACAGCTACCCAGAGCCCTGGGTAGAGGAATTCCTGGAGAAGGAGTTGGCCTTGTTCGAGAATCTTTCAGGGGTGTCCCATATAGCGGAGCACCACATCATCATGCGCAGCGATCGGCCATTGAAGCAGAGATACTTCCCGAGGAACCCGGCCATGAGGGCCATCATCGACAAATAGATCGACGAGCTTCTTCGAGACGGGCGGATCGAGCCCTCGAAGAGTCCGCACAGCGCGCCCATCGTGATTGCGGCGAAGAAAAACGGAGACGTACGCATGTGTGTTGACTACCGTCAACTCAACGAAAACTCGGTTCCCGATGCCTACCCGCTCCCGAGGATTCGCCAGATTCTGGAACGCCTCCGGAACGCCAAGTTCATCTCGACGCTGGACTTGAAGAATGGATACTGGCAGATACCAGTAGCCCCGGGCAGCCGAGAGTGTACGGCTTTCACCGTTCCCGGTAGAGGATTATTCCACTGGCGGGTGATGCCGTTCGGCCTGCATTCCGCCCCTGCAACGTTCCAGCGCGCTTTGGATACAGTCATCGAACCTGACATGGAGCCGCACGCATTCGCCTACCTGGACGATATCATCGTCATAGGCTCAACGCTGGAGGAACACGTCGCCAACCTTCAGGACGCCTGCGGAATGCAAACTTGCGCCTGAATCGAGGGAAGTGCCACTTCTTCCAGCGCCACATCGTCTACCTGGGACATGTAATCAGCGAGGCGGGTATTCATAAAAATCCGGAAAAAGTTGCCGCGATCCGCGAGCTGAAGCCACCAACTTGCCTAAAGGAGCTCCGGAGGTGCCTTGGGATTTCATCCTGGTATCGCCGCTTTGTTCCAAACTTCGCCGACGTGGTCGAACCCATGACCGCGTTGCTGAAGAAAGGCCAAAAGTGGGAGTGGACATCGAGGCAGGATCACGCTTTTCAGGAGCTAAAGGCGCTACTAACGAAGGCACCGGTTTTGGCCAGGAGTAACCTGCGGGGATGATGTTCACCCGCCAGGTCGACGAGCCATTCCAGGTTCTCTGTGCTGACTTCGTCGGACCGCTTCCACGATCGAAGCAAGGCAACACCATGCTGTTGGTGTTTCTGGATGCCTTCAGCAAGTGGGTGGAGTTTGTGCCACTGCGGAAAGCTACTGGAGCACAGCTTGAACGCGCTTTTCGGGAACGGATCCTGAGCAGATTCGGAGTGCCGAGGACCTTCGTCTGCGACAACGGCACGCAGTTCACTGGTCGATCTTTCCAGAACTTCTGCAAAACGCTGGGCATGGAGCTGCAGCACACGGCGCCGTATACGCCAAAGCAGAACCCGACGGAGAGAGCCAACAGGACGATCAAGACGATGATCGCCCAGTACCTGGATGGAGGCCCGCAGAATACATGGGACCAGTTGTTGCCGGAAATCTCCCTGGCCATCAACAGCAGTGTCTCCGACACAACAGGATTTAGCCCAGCTTTCCTGACGCAGGGGCGAGAACCGAGGCTGCCACGGACTCTATACGACGAGCTCACACCAGGACGAGGCACCCCAGAGGTGGCCCCAACGGACCGAAGCCAGCAGCTGAGGGACATCTTCCGAGTAGTGCGAGACAACGCCGAGCGCGCTGCGGCGGATCAGGGCCGACACTACAATCTGCGCCGACGGACTTGGAAGCCGCCTGTAGGATCTCTAGTGCTGGTGAGACGCCACGCGCTCTCCAACGCTGCTGAAGGATTCGCCGCCAAGCTGGCCGCGAGATACGAGGGACCCTTCCGAGTGGCGAAGTTCCCTTCACCAAACATCGTCCAGCTACACGTACCCGGCAGCCGCCGACGTCGTACTGCGAGTCTGGGACAGCTGAAACCTTACCGACAGGGAGAAGCAGATGACCACGCCGAAGGCGCGATCGATGACAGCGACTACGAGGAAGACCACGCCGAGGACACGCACAACCCAAAGCAATCAGACGCCGCCGACACGAGCCCTGGGGAGAACCACCCCACTCCACGCCGCCGCCACTAAGCCACGCCCAGATCGAAAGATGGCCATGTTCAGAGGGGCCACTTGCTGACAGGCGCGCCTGTCCAACGCTCCTACCCCCTAGGGGGAAACATGTGCCCTCTCTTTCGCAAAAAAAAAAAAACTTAGAAATCGAGCAACTCTCGGTTGGGTAGGGTCCTTCGAAAGCGCCCCCCTAACAACGCCGTCTCTTTTGCTCTTTTCTCTCCACAGACACATCGATCACCACCCAGCACGAACGCAAACGGTGCACCAGACTGCGGCAGAGCAACATCGCTAACAACAGCAACAGAGACGCGACCCACCGCCCACAGGCAATCGCCAGCGAGCACACGCCCGCATCCTCGAGGATCCAGCGCACGGCAGCGCTGAACACACGCGCTTCGCATCTTGCCCACGATCCCGAGCACGGCCGCATCGCCACCAACCCGGACCAGCCATCTCGCCACGATGTCAAGCACCATTTCATCACCCAGGGACGACGCCTGGATGGGGCTCGCCCTTGAGGAGCTGCTGGATGGTCTCCAGATGGGGTATCGGCCCCAACCTTCACTCCTCGCGCCACTCCGTGTGGCCGGAGGCCGCAGACAAATCCTGTCCGCGGAGCAGCTCGACGTCCCGCCGGATCATCGATTCGGCCCAATACGGGTGGACACCACCCCGCCACGACCACGGCCAATCGAGGCCGCCCACACGCCTGCCGACCAGGGCAAGCAGCCACTCACGGATCAAGGGCCGCCGCCTTTGGTCCCGCTACGCACAACCCGGGCTCCATCGACCCAAGCCACCCAAGGGCAAGCCCCAGGAGGGAAGCCACCGCCACGGGAGGCACCACACACCAGCCGGCTGTCCACGACGCCTACCGGCAACCAGGGGCAGCCACCACAGGCAGCACCTCGAGCAGCCCGCCCGTCGACGCGACCGCACACCGGCCGGGTCGCCACGACAACTACCGGACACGAAACCCCATCATCAAGGGCGACGCCGCGAGCTGCCCTCACTTCGGCACGCTCACGCACCGGCCCGACTCCAACAACGCCTGGGACACGCGCAGTCCAGGACCCAGACGGCGAGGTGGAAGCGGCGCTACGAGAGTGCCTAGGCGACCTTCCACCCGACGTGCTGGAGGAGATGGCCCACGGGGCAGAGGGTTTGGACATGGAGGACCTCTTCGGGGAGTCTCCCGACGAAGACGGAGTGCAGATTCCGACGCGCCCCGCCTCCGACCAATCCGTCGACGAGCCACGGACACCGTCACCTCAGTTCCTTCCGGACTACGAGGAGATCTCCAGCGACGAGGGAGAGGCGGATGGGATCATCCAGATCTCCGACTCCGACGACGCCGAGCCAAATGTTAGACCGCCGGGCACCACGCCGCCGTCGGGCCGGGTCCATACGCCACCAGCTGCCGATAACCACCTGCGCGGCCTCATCACCGAGCCAATTACCGCCGACAACGTCACGCGGATACCACGCCGCCGTCGCTCCACGCCAGGCAGAGGGGCCATCGATAAGCCAACACATCGACTTGACAACCGACGAGGACTCCGAAGACGAGAGGCCAGCCGTGGCCGTACCGAGCCGCCCCCGCTACTAACACCCGGCGAATACGCCGCTGCAGTGGCTCGACGCAGGGCGTCCTCCGCCGGGCCGGTTCGGCCAATCAACCCGGAGCCACGTTCGGCCAGGGACCGACCACCCACACCAGCACCGGCACGCCGAGGCCACCGACGGAGCGCGCCCTGGGTGGACAGTAGAGCTGGGAAAAAATCGATTCTCAGCGAATCGATTTTTTTCGATTTTTTAGAAAATAAAATCGATTAAATCGATTAAATCGAAAACAAAACTTTTTATTTTTTACTTCAAATAAATTCAGAAAAAACCAGAACTTAAATTTATTTACATAATCATTCTTAAACAATAAACCCAAAATGTATTCATAATAAATCAAATTAATTTTTCTGGCCATAACCAGTGATTAATTGATTTTTTGTTTTAATAAAAATATTTTGTTTCTTTATTTTAAATAAAATTATTCAAAGCCTTTATTTTAAATATAGTAACTTATTTTAAACAAAAATATTTAAAATAAAGGTTCATAAAATAAGAAGCAAAATAAATATAAAAACAAAAAATCAAAATCAATTATTTACTGGATATTTCCAGAAAAATTAAATTAAATTAAATGAGATCACAAAAAACCAAAAATATTTTCAAATTATAAAAATATCAAAATTCGACTAGCCAGTGGTTTTTGTTGGCAAAAACGAGCTTATTTAAAGTTTTGGGTTTTAAAGCCGCACGTTTATCGGTTATAATACATCCAGCATTACTAAATACTCGCTCTGCTTCTGTTGAGCTAGCTGAAACGCACAGATAGAGCAAAGCATGGACCTTGTCGATTAATCGATTCTTTCTAAGCCGAATCGATGCATCGACCGAAAAGAAAGAATCGATTTAATCGATGTTGACATCGATTTATTCCCAGCTCTAGTGGACAGCCCCAGCGAATCCTCGTCCGAGGAAGAGTTGCCCCGCGATCGCCAAGGTCACACCCGCTGACTACCCGTTCCCGACGGCTGGAGCACGCCCAACGGCACGCTACCCGCCGGGCTCATCAGTCGGATCCAGCAGCGACTTCTAATAGCCAGACGAAGGGCCCGACGCTATCTGGAGGAGGAACAGGGTCAGCGATTCCGGGTGCAGCAGAACCGGGACGACCACGTCCGGCTCTTCCTACACCCCACCCGGAGTAAGGAGGGAGTGTGACGACACGACTGGTCGCTACAACCTTATATATATATGTATGGTAAATAATACCCTACAATTTAAGCTTAGACCTAATCATGTACATATTATACCTAAAATTAAGACTAAAACTAAGCACACACACTCACCCCGCACACCCGGCATGAAGCCATACACACACACACACTCACACACACACATCACCCGGCATGAAGCCAAATAAACCCCCCGAAGGGAAGTTCAAAACGAGCACTAAGCTTTGAAGTTACGCGCGCAAGTGGCAACGCTGTCGGCGATAGTGTCAGCATCTGGCAACGCCAGGATCGATCGCGGCAGCGCTGCCGGCAGGAATTAGGTCACGGCCACACTGCGGAAATTAGGTCAATTGAATCCTCGCAAAATTCTCGATCGCGCAAGTCGTGTCGCTCCGTAAGTGAAGAGTTCAAGTGCCAAAACCGCGTGTCCGCGTCGGGACCTAATTATCCTGTAGGACCTCGAAGGACATCCAGCCAGGGTGAGCATGGCCGCCGGCCATTAAATATATTGGGGATCTATCCCACCCCCGCCGCCAGAAGTTATTTTATCAATAAAATTACCTAATTAGAAAACATGTGCTTAAATCAAATTGTGCGTTTTCCCTGTCTTCGTTCGCGGGCCGGCGCCCCTCGCCGGCAGTGACCAATTCCCCTCCTGCTTTCCCCGTAGCACCGGAGTAATTCCGGGTGCAGGCGAAAGCCGGACGGGAACGGGAGCCCGTGGCTGCTGGATTTTTCCGGTCCCCTTTCCCCCTTGCCCATCAGAGAGCCATCCCGCTGCTGGATTTTTCCGGGCGAGGATCTGGGGTTTGTCGCTGGATATTTTTCCGATCCAACTGTCCCGCTGATGGATTCTTCCGAGCGGACGCAGGCATCGGCTGCTGGATATCTCCGACCCGTTGTCTTGTCCCAACGGACGCCGCGCTGCTGGATCTTTCCGAGCGTGGGCGTGGCTGCTGGATTATTCCGAGCCCTCTGAGCAATCCTGCCGCTGGATTCTTCCGGGCGAGGATTTGGGGCTGGCTGCTGGATTTTCTCCGAGCCAGTGGTCCCGCTGCTGGATTCTTCCGAGCGTGGACACAGGCCTTGGCTGCTGGATTCCTCCGAGCCTTTGTCCTGCCCCGAAGGCGCCCCGCTGCTGGATCACTCCGAGCGTGGGCGTGGGCGTGGCCGCTGGATAATTCCGGGTCGCCCGGTTTCCCCTGGCCAAATACGTGCAAATATTTTCTTCCCCATTTTCCCCGCTAGCTGGCCAGAAAATTATCGGCGCTTCTCCGTCCTGGGTGTCTCACAAATTATAAATTTTGTGAGGGGACTCTGGGCCGCTGAGGATCACCCCGGCCGCCCAGACGCTTCCTTACATGGCGTCCGGAGCAGGGACAGCCCAGGACGGAAAGTTGGTCATCGTGGCGGAATAAAGCCCCGCCAGCCGATATTTTTTATTTAGATCAGAAAAATATATATAAATAGGAAAAAAAAATAATATATATATAGGGAGGAAAATAAAAATATATATATAGTGACATATCCACAGTCCTACGGACTCTGTCTACGCCTACTTTACACACCACACAAACACAATATTGTAATACCCTGTAACACAAACACACTTGCCCAATACACCCTTTGCTACCCTAGTTTATATCCATACACATCAGATAGCAACCGCCGGATGTTTATAAGAATTCCAAAGCCAAAGCTAGTGGAATAAACCCATGCTCTACACAAAGGATGCAATCTGAAACTCTAAACAAACTCCAGACAGTCCCTTCTGTAGACTAAACATTTATGACTTAAGTCATCACACGTTCCCACGTTCAAAGTTCGGACTCGCCAAGCCGAAAACAAAAATATTAGATTTCAATAACAAATCATAAAATCAAAGAGCGAATGCACTTGAATCTAAGAGAAGATTAACAATTAACTCCAAGCTCTCTCCTAAATTCTCTCCAGAACTTTTAAAGTTTAACTCTATATTTGAAAGCTCGAGACCGAGGCTTGAACGTCAATCTATCCAGATCAATTAATTGAGTTCAGTTTAAGACCTAAAAGATTTAAGTTGGTGTTCTTCAAAATAAAATAACTTGTAAAACCAATATTCAGTTAAATAAAGTTTGTATTTTTTTAACTTATGAATATCGCAAGTATTTAATTGGCGCAGTCGGTAGGATCCTAAAATAAAAGAGTCCTTAAGAAACGGTACTGGTGTAAATAAAAAGGATATGCTATACAACTAGCAGTCCTAACACTAGCGAATTTTAATAGTGATTCTAAAAATTAGTGATCCGTAGAAGAATCTACGTGATTCAAAGTGTCAAAAAAATCCCGTGCGGTCGGAAAAATAAAATCAATAAGAGATTATTTAATTCCGTGAGAAAAACTGAAAACCCCGTGTGGTCAGAAATAAATTCTGCAAATAAGCAATATAACCGATCAATAAACTTACCAACCAACAAAACATAAAACATGGCAGTTCCACAATTATCCGAAGTACACCTGAATCAATTGCTGGCGCAAATAAAGGAGCCACATTACTACGATGGAACTCCAGGAAAGCTGTCTGGCTTTTTTAGCCAGGTGGATCAGTTATTGTCGCTTTATCCCACTCAAGATGCGCGCCAAGCACACGTAATCTACGGAGCAATCAGAAGAGTCATCGTTGACGAAACAACTGGAGGAGACTACCTATCCAGGTAGTATTAGTAAGTTTATTGAACGTTTAGAAAGTCAGGTTAGAAATATATTTGATAAGCTAGAATTGGAGAGTGACCCTGTGGCAAAGTCCAATTATTCAGAAATGTTAAAAACCACAATAAAAACGACAATCGATAGAAAACTTCCGGACAGGATGTATATGTCACTGGCAAGAAAAGACATAGATACCATTCCGAAATTAAAACAAGCCACAATGGAGTGTGGTCTTTACGACTCAAATCCAACGGATAGCTTTTCGAAATCGAGCTGGCAAGGTCGCAAAAGCGGGGGGAATAAGAATCAGAAGAATAATCAAAGATATTATAATAATAAATATAATTACCCCAGTAATTATCACAATTCTACTAACCAAAATTATTCAACACAAAACACTAACCAGAATAATCAAAACCAAAACACTTCTCGTAATACTAACCCGAGTAACCAAACTATCCCACCAAATCAAAGGGAAATTCCAATACCTGCAGAGATGGTTTAACTCAGGCTAGGCAGAACAATCCCCTCAATTTCCAACCTTCAACGTCCAACAACGCGAATAATGGCGGAGGCGTCAAGAGGCAGAGAGAAAGTTCCAGCGGACAGAGCCTTATGGACGTAAATTTTCATCAAGCTGCCTCGGAGATACAGGAATTAGAAGAGGAAGGGTCGGTCCATTTATAAAAATAACATACGAAAATAAGCTTTATAGGGGCATGGTTGACACAGGTTCTTCCATCAATATCATAAAGGAAAACTTCGCAAACGCAAAAGAAAGCATAGAAAAACTAACGGTATACACTATAAAGGGGCCAATAAAATTGGTAAAAAGCATCAAATTAAAACCCAGTGCTGTGTGTCCGTCTGTACAAAAATTTTATGTGTACAATTTTTCAGAAAATTATGATTTCCTGTTAGGTCGCCCTTATTTAGAAGACACTAAAGTAAAAATTGATTATGAGAAGGAGACAGTAACTCTAGGCTCCAAAACCTATAAGTTCTGTTTCAAAGAAGAAAAGGGCGAGACCGCATCTACAAAATGCCTCGACCCAAATTCCGAAAACGAGCTTGCATCTGCAGAACAGCTCATAAAAAATTCAAAAGTGGATAAAATTGCACCTACAAAGGGAGCAAAATCCAAACCAAAGAAGGAGAAGACCGCACAGTCAAAGTGCCTTACTCCAGGTAAAGACTTAAAGGGCCAGAAAAAAAAACGAAATTGACCCTCAGTCCGTCAGCTTCGCAGTTGAAAATGAACTACGCGAATGCAATGAATACAGACTTGAACACCTAAATGTTGAAGAGGTTGAGTGTTTGAAGAAGGTTCTCTATGAATATAGGGACATTCAGTACAAAGAAGGTGAAAATTTGACTTTCACAAGTACTATCAAACACGTTATCCAAACTCAACACGAGGATCCGGTCTACCGAAAACCCTATAAGTATCCCCAAAGCGTGGATCAGGAGGTAAATAAACAAATAAAAGAAATGATTGAGCAGGGAATAATTCGTAAATCGAAATCTCCTTACTGCTCTCCCATTTGGGTGGTCCCCAAGAAGGCTGATGCCTCAGGGAAACCGAAATTTCGGTTAGTCGTCGACTACAGGAATCTAAATGAGATTACTGTAAATGACAAATTTCCCATTCCACGAATGGATGAGATACTGGACAAACTTGGTCGTTGCCAGTATTTCACCACGATTGACCTAGCTAAAGGATTTCATCAAATCCAAATGGATGACAATTCCATTGCAAAGACAGCCTTTTCGACCAAACATGGGCATTACGAATATACACGTATGCCTTTTGGTTTGAAAAATGCACCTGCAACATTCCAGAGATGCATGAACAATCTTCTTGAAGATTTGATCTACAGAGATTGCTTAGTGTACCTAGATGATATAATTATCTACTCCACTTCATTGGAGGAGCATATCTTATCACTTAGGAAAGTCTTCGGAAAATTAAGGGATGCTAATTTGAAGCTGCAGCTAGACAAGTGCGAATTCATGAAAAAAGAAACTGAGTTTCTGGGACACGTTGTCACGACGAACGGTATCAAACCTAACCCAAACAAAACCAATGCC